TATGAATCTTTAAACCTACTTTAGGTTCACGGGTTCCGATTGAATAGGAGGGTTCACCGAATTTTTTGCCGGTTTCTTTTCGTTCGGTTTTTTCTCTATAACCAAACCGAATTTCTGCTTTGTTCATGATTTTTTCGAGCAAACCGGCTGGTCCGGTCCGATTGTCAAAACACAGTTTTTAACTATTTATAAGATGGATTTTATTTGACAATCTCCTACATTTGAATGTCAAAAATAACTTTTTTTTATTGGTAAAGACTTTATTTATCCAATGAGAACTGAAAGATGGAAAATTTGAAAAGAATTCTTGGGATGAAAAATAGATACGTCTTCTATAATAACTTAGAGAAATTTGCACTTTTCATTCTCAATGTTTATAAAATGTAACAAATTTATCCCAACCTTTTTTGACATAATTTATCCACAACAGTTAACTATGTAGAAAAACTGAGTTAAATGTTTGATTAGCCATTGAACTCTGGTACATGTCATGGTTTACTCACTATCATTTGAAACTTATCCCACTGGCCATTTAACTTTATTTCGTCCAACTCCATTAGCCACCGGATGAAAACGTTAGTGAACTTGTACACGTGGCTGATGATAATTTGACATGACAGTTAAATTGTTAATGAGTGCTAGGTAAAAACCAAATAAGCAATGCCAAACACGACTTTAGCTTCCAATAAACTAGAACTTTCAAAATTGTTATTTATTCCCAACCCAAAAAATACTTCTCCTTCAACCCATTTTTATCCTTAACCCCCAATCGGTACTTCCCCATACTTGAAGGCCCCAGAAGCATGAATCAGTTCAAGTGTTGAATCGAAGAAGGTTTGCACATGGAGGGACCACTCGAAGGTAATTGAAAATCAATAATTTACATTATTTCCATGAATGTAGCAACAAGAACAAGACAAATGATGGCTGCTGCTGTTCAAATTTAGATTAAGTATTAGAATTATGATTTTTTGTATCTTCCTCTGTGTTTTCATGAATATAGACAAAGAGGCCTAGTACTTAATGCTTTATAAATATGTTAATTTTTTGTATCTTCCTCTGTAGTTTGACAAGTTCCAAGATTTCAACTCCATTTAGAAAAGATCTTTCATTACTTGGATCATTTGGAGGCCCAATACTGATTTTCATAAAACCAAAATCTAAATATGTTAATTTGGCTGCTGTTCAAACTATGACAGAAGATCTAAATGTGTATAATCTAGCTACTATTGCTGCAAATATGTATAATCTGAATGAAGTTTTTCGTATCATGGCAGCATTATTTGATATAAAAAATTATGAAGACACACACATGATCTACAAATATGTATAATCTGTTGCTCGGAATACTTATGAAGACACACATATGAAAATAAATTCATTTGATTGCATGACATAAGCCTTTGCCTCCATTCCTGTGTTCACAATATTTTTTTTCCATATATGTGTAATTAGAATTTCCTAATTGCCTGTAGCATAATATTGTGACAGTGCCGAAGGTGACTCAGATTTCGTTGATTCTGAGAGCAATTTGGATGATGAAGATAATAAACTGTATGAGCAAAATGTGACTGATGGTATCGAAATGGGTTTGGATGGCCATGATCAAGTTCAAGATGAACAGGAAGAGGGAAACGATATGGAAGTAGATGACTTGGAATAGCTAACGGAAAAGTTATTATCATAATGCTCATCAGATGACGAAAGTGGGTTTCAATTTCCTCAATTTTCTGCCGAGACTGATATGAAAAACCTACTGTTTGAGGTAGGGCATATTTTTAGCTAAGCTGTCGAGTTTAGAGAGGTGTTTAGAACTTATGGTGCATTGAATGGGTATAGTGTACAGTTTACGGCAAACAAAGAGAGACGAGTACAGGGTGTGTGCAAAATTGGGAGTAAATTGAGGATATACGATTCCTTATTTAACGACACTGACACATTGCAGGTGAAATCATACATATTAGACCATACATATAGTTGGGATCAATTTAATAGACACTACAACTACAAGTTCCTGACACATTGTTACCTTGAGCAGTTCAAAGCGAACCCTGACTGAAGAACGGAGCTCATTTTAGTGACAGTTAAGAAGGACCTACGTACAAACATAAGTAGAAATGTTGCATGGAAGATGAAAAGGTTTGCTAGAGAAGTATTAGTCAGGACTATGCAAGACCAGTGCGAACGATTGAGGTCTTATGCAGTCGAGGTACTCCGAACAAATGTTGGTTTTACTGTTATCATAGCTTTGCAACATCAAGTGTTTTAGGGTATGTATATATGCTTTAATGGTTGTAAGATGGGCTTTAGAAATGGTTGAAGAAGGGTGGTTGGCGTTGATGGTTGCCACTTATGAGGTTGCTTTGGAAGAATTTTACTGACTGCATTTGGCCCAGATGGTAACGATTGTATTTACCCTGTTTCTTACGTGGTTGTTCAGAAAGAAAACACACCAACTTGGTGATGGTTTCTAAATTATCTTGTCGAGGATATTGAAATTGAAAATGGCAGAGGATGGATCTTGGTGACAGATAGGCAAAAAGGTCTGCAAAATGTGATAAATGAGTTGTTTCCTGAGGCCGAGCATAGATTTTGTGTACAACACATAAATTTTTTCAATGCAGGTTTTAAGGGAAAGACTTTAAAAAATTATCTTTGGCAGGCTATAAAGTCAACCACTATACCTGACTATAAACATTGAATGCAACAAATTTTGAACATCGGTGAGAACGCATATAAATGGCTAATGGAGAGGCATCCACAAGAATGGAGTAGATCACACTTCTCTCTCCATGCAAAGAGTGATATATTATTGAATAACATATGCGAAGTGTTCAACAAGACCTTGAGGAGTGATAGGGAGAAGATGATTATGACGATGCTCACTTCAGTTCAATTGATCTTCATGATAAGAATTAGAAAGCGTCGAGACACAATGATGAAGCACAATGTTAGGTTGTGTCCAAACATTAGAAAGAAGCTTAACAAAAACGCTGATCGCTCATGTGAATGCACATTGCACTTATCTGGAAAGCCGAAATGGCAAGTAGATTATAACTACGACACATATGTTGTTGATATACTAGAACAGAGTTGTGCGTGTAGAGAGTGAGAGCTTACAGGCACACCATACATGCATGCAGTTTCAGTGATAAGAAAATGTAGGAATGATCCAGAAGAATATGTTGACAATTGCTATTTAATTGAAACATATCTGAGGTGCTATGATAACATCCTTAACCCAATTAACGGGATAAGATTATGGCCGGAGTTGGACATGGCTGCTATCATACCTCCGTCATAGGTTGTTCCGCGCAAAGGAAAGAGGCCAAAAAATAGGAGGAAGAGGGCAAATGACGATGTGATAGTACATTCACAAGATAAAACATATATGAGAAAAAATGAAGATTGAAGATGACTTGTTTAGAATGTGGACTGCGTGACCACAATAAGCGATGCCATTCCAGGCCAAATGCTCCATCGGATGTGAGTACCACTACTCTCTCTACTTACTCATTTCAAACGAAATATAACAGTATGTGACTATATTTTCGTTTCCACAGGATTGGTTTAAAGGCGACTTGGAACCTATTGAAACATAGTGCAACACATACGTGAATGAAAGAGTACATGAAAGACTATTCATGATATAAAGTAGTATTTGTTTTGAGAGGGTAGCATTTAATATAGTTAAACATTTCAAGTGCAATGATAGGGTAAAATTGTTGCCATTGGTAGAAAGGGTTCATCTTCAGCAAATAACACCACACAACAAAGTTCTTTCTATTTTATGCCTACACCAAAGGTTGCACATGAGGCGAGAAGGGATCGTATTGCACCCAGTCCAGTAGTGACGATGCCTATCAGTGATCAACATGAAGCTGGTTAGCCTGTAGAGGATAATGTGCCAACTGGGGAAGTAGACTTGGAATAGATGGTTGACAAGAACTGTGGGAGGCACGGAAAAAATATGACAAGAACCAAAAGTGATAGTAATCTATAAATTTCTTTTGAACAACAAAGATGACAAGAACCAAAAGTCTTTTAAGCATGATTTCCAATTTTGGCATGTTTTCACTGGGATATGTACCGCTATTTTGATAGTTATGTTAACATGCTGTGTTAGACTATTTTGCTATGCCTCTGATTTTATCTTAGACTATTTGATGTATGTTTGGAGACATCGATTTCTATGGATTATGTCGCGTTATTTGTTAATGCAGTTCAGCTTGTTTAGGATTATTTGTTCATTCAATGCTAGAATTTACTTGATTATGTTAAGTTTGTGGAATTGGTGGAATCACGGGTTTTCAAAACTCAAGCTAACGGGAATGGTGGTTTTGCAGGACTTAGGGTATAAGGATATGTTTTCATCATTGAGATTAAAATGCCTGCTAGAATGTCAACTTTTAGTGGCATATATGTCCAACATTATAAAATTCGACTATGGATACGAATCTTTAAATTTTGGCCATTTCTCACAATTTACACAAAATACGATTTGCATCGCAGGTTAAATTCCTGCTTTAATTTGCATTTCCACTACAAGAAAAAATAGTAAAGCTCATCCCAGATAAAAAGGTCGATGAATTCTTGATCTTTAAATAAATATCACCACCGTCGGCAAGCCCAACATACGTCAGCCTGTTTGCCATTCTCACAAGCAATTCTACAACTTCAATTGCAACTCTACATGTATAACACATTAAATAAGAAATGATATACCACCGAATGAGGAGAAAAGTTTAATCTGTCTCCAACTTGATAAAATACGTAAAAAAAAATGGTACATATTGTCAATTCAGCAAACCAAAATGTGCAAGTCAATATAGAAAAACAACTGAGAATGATTGCGCAAGCCTAATTCTATGCAGAAATATAATGATACTCATATCACAACTTTATTAATATAGAGATGAAAGATCAATATAGACAAGTTTAAGCAAAAATGTCTCTAGCAAAGTCATTTTCTAATGAGCTCAACACAAAGTCATTCCCTATTAAGCTTAAGATAGTCACTGAATAGAATATAAAATACAGTTCATATTACAAATTAAGCAAAAATGTCACTTGATATTCAGCATACAAGTTTCCCAGTTGGCATCTTTGAATGTATGCCCACTTAAAGGATTAATGCACGCCCACATTCCATGTGGCCAACAACATACACCAAACATAATTTAAATCGAAGTTGGTGCCTACTACACAAACATAAAAATGACAAACACACCTTATATAGATCATTTTCCCTTACGCATAGTTATGTTCAATGATATCTTCATGTCTTTTTCTTTAGTTATTTGAGCAAATGTCTTGAACATGGATGACAAATCTTCTCCTTAAAATTGCATCGGTTTTGCCCTCGATGACGAATCATCATTCCAATAAAAAATTCCACAATCTCTTGTGTAACATAAGAACAGTTATAATATGTTTCTAGTATTCTTCTCGACCTCCATACATTTCATGAACCTCGACCCACAATCTAGACATCGTTGCTTCAATGGGCAATCTGAAAATTGGTGTCGGTGCTTCTTACAACAATAACAAATGTCCTTGTTCTTCCCTGTCATTGTAATCTTCTTCTGGACATTATTTCAATAACAAGTTTCCTACGCTATGAATTCAATAACAAGTTTTCTACGCTATATACATAAATATAAACTAAAAACATGTGGCTAAGTTCACTGGTACATCTCTCTGTAATCTACATAGATGGATATTAAATTTTTTTTTAAACAACAATTTATGCGTGACGAATTACGTCGACAAGTAAGTACATTTTTTTCCCCGCATTGTATCATGAACTTCTGTAAAAAGATTGGACAAATTGATTACGCTCAAATCTATTGTCGATAACTTACCCAAACAACTTATGTAATAGCATCTTCTTTGATGGGTTCTGGCGATGGTAGATGTGGGTCGAATTTTTGAGCCACAAATCGCTAGTTCACCTAGGGTTTGCCCTTTAGAATTGGGTATTTCCTTCCAACTGCAAAGAAAAGAATTCATGAGGAGAAGAAGGGTTCAATGTTTGTAAAGCATGTTATACTTTTTTCATTTGAAGCTAAAGTCGTGTTTGGCATTGCTTATTTGGTCTTTACGTGACTCTCATTAACAATTTAACGTGCCATGTTAAATTACCATTCACCACGTGTGCAAATTCACTAACGTTTTTATCCGGTGGCCAATGAAGACAGAGTGAAGTTGAATAACCAATGGGCTAAGTTTCAAAGGACAGAGTAAACCATGATATATATTAATATTCAATGGCTAATCAAACATTTAATTCAAAAAAACTTGTCACTCCTTCCATTTTGGTCATTGTATGATAGATTTACCCTCGTCTTTAAATTAATAAAATGAAATAGTAAAAATAAGAAAATGAAATCCCATAGTTTTTTTTAAAACATAAATAAATTCTACTTAAAATAATTAAATTCATATTAACACACAAAAATGAATGAGACGAGGTCACTCATCCACCCACCCAAACCCCCGCCTCACCCGTGGTCAAACACCTGATTCACAAATGTTGGCGACGATGAGACAACCATTTTAGAAAATTAGTCTGATCGAACAAAGAAATAAAAATATATTTTTCCCAAACCCACCCACCACCCATTGAAGTTAGATCACCATCTATAGTGGGCAATTCATCGATCCTCCAACATCTGTTTGCAATAATTAATTTTAGAAAAAGGTTTAAGATTTCCGGAACCAAATATCTATGGTCTATGCTGTGATTTGATTATTCTAGATATAGGGTGGAGGTTGGTGGGGGTGCCAATTTTAGTGGTGGTTTTGCCGTGGGAAGTGATAGGTAGGTTTGGAAAAAATATATTTTTTTATTTTTTAGATTTTCCTAAAATTATTTTTTTAAGATGGTGGTGGTGTGGTGATGTCTTCTGTGTGAATGCATTTATGGATGGGAGGGGGGAGGCAAGGTGGTGCGGGGATTGGTAAACTTGATTGGCAAAGATGAAATGCTTATTTTTTTCTAATTTTTGTGTGTGTTAATATGTATTTAATTATTTTAAATAGGATTTATTTATACTTTTTGAAAAATTATGGCACTCCCTTCAAATTTTTCTTTATTTCATTTTTAAGTTGATTTCATTTATTTTTATTTGTTTTAAGATAATGACAAATCTATCACTTTAATGTTCAAACCAGAGGGATGATGATTTTTGCTACATAAATGATAGGTTAGGAATGGATTATGCTAAAAAGGATTGAGGACGAAAAATTTAAATTGCTCGTTAACTTATTATAGGGAATTATTGATGTAATTTTTGTTTGAGAGAGATTACTTGAAGAAAAAAATAATATTTTTGGAAATTGTATAGGTAAAAAGTTGGAAAAAAAAATGGGCAACTTACAAAAATACCCTTAAAATTTGAGGTGTTTTGAAAAATCATATGAAAAATTTTTTAGAACTAAAAAATATTTTCTAAAATGAAAAAGTGACACAATGTCACTTTTGTTATAAAAATTGTCACTCTTTTAGAAAAATTGACACAAACGCTTGAAAAGTGACAAAATTTAAAAAATGTGACACAAACTCAGAAAAATGACAAAAACAAAAATAGCACAATCCATTTTTGCAGCACCAATAATCATATTCTTAACATAATCAATATATCCAGAACAATCCACATGAGCGTAGTGGCGGTTCCTAACATAATCAGCATGTCCAAGACAATTCAAATGCCGATTATGTTAGGAAAATATAACGTGAAAATTAAAAAAAGTATCAAAATTTTTTAAAAAGTGACACAAATAAAAAAAAAAAACACAGATTAAAAAAAGTGACAGAAAATAAAAAAGTGACAAACAGTCAAAAAAGTGAAGTAAATTAGAAAAAAAAAAGTGACAATATTAAAAAGTGACACAATGTCACTTTTAAAGTTGAGTATCACTTTATTTCATTAAAAATGACATACAACATCACTTTTATTAAAAAGTGATGCTTGTTAAAAAAAAAAAAAAAAAAAAAGGGGAAAAAAATTAGAAAAAAAGACTGAAAA